GGGGTGGGGGGGGTGGGGGTGGGTGCTGGCCAGTATGTCATGGGCATCCTGGTAGGTCAGCCGCAAGGTCGTGGGCTTCCTGAGTGCTGCGGAGCCCATGGAGGGTTTCGAGCAGAGGCGAAGTGACAGGTGGCCAGTCCATTCTCCAGCACTGACCGTCGCGCCCATGAGCCATCGATTGACGTGGGTTAGAACCCCAGGAGAGCTCCCATGGCCGGACCCGGCAGTTGTGTTCGTTACATTAAGTTCCCAGCCCAGCGCGAGTCCCCTCCGGGATATCGGCACCGGACACTAAGCGACAGGACTCGCTGTGGGTTGGCTGACACCGTCGAGGCTCCCACACCCTGACAGGATGGACACGCTGCCCCGCTTCCTGAGGTGAAACGTGTGTGCTCAGGTGTCGACCCCGTCCTGCTGTCGGTTCGGATGGTGGCCACGCCATTTCGGGGCCCGGAGACCCTGGCCCCACCCCCGGCTGAGGGTCTCGGCCCGTCCCACATCCGTGCAGGGACGCGACTGCGTGAGCGTGAGTGCCGTCGCTGCCAGGACTCCTGGACGTCTGGTGTCCAGATGGAGGGCAAAAGCCGACCTGCAAGCACAGCTGCGGGCCCGAGGACGCGCTGGCCAGCTTCCCGCGCAGCCCGGGCTGGGGGCAGCAGGCGCGCACTCCAGGGCCTGGGGCGTCTAGGGAGCGATTCCGTCCAGGATGGTGTGGGAGGCGGCAGGGCTGGGGGTCCGGGCCGGGCCCCGGGTTCCAGCCCCCTCCTCACCCGCTGTGGGACCCTGAGCACGTTGCCGGCTCTTGGCACCTCGGTTCCCTATCTGCACACGGGAGGTAATAATAGTGTTTAGCTCACAGGGTTGAGATCATACTTGGACAGCCCCCTGAGAGCGTCTAGCAGGGCAGTTCTCAACATTCCGTAATCTCTGGAGACTTTTTTTTCCCCCACAGCGGAGAGGGGGAGTGGGGGGGACCTACTGCCATCTAGGGGTCCAGGTCCCCATCCTGTGGCACATAGGACGGCCCCCACAACAATGACTGTCTGGCCCCCGAAGTCACGGAGAGGAGGGTAAGACCCCGTGGGGTCGCACCTCGAAAGTGCACCATACACTTCCGTTATGCATAAAGGATGGGATCCACTTGTAATCTCCCTTTATTCCTCGTGTGGCCAGCATTTAGGACACATCTGCTACATTCTAGGCACCGTCACGGAGTCTGCAGACATCAAGAACTCCCAACCACAGAGGCAAGATAACAACATAATATAATTATACTATGAAGTTACGTTCTGCGATGAGGCATCGCCTCTGACTCAGGGACTCTGATAGACTCTTGGAAAACAACAAGCGTTGGAGTTCAGAGGTCAGGGGAGAGCAGGCGAGGCAGGAAAAACAGTGATTACATGACAGGAGGTTATCATACCTGGAAGGGCTAAAATCAGGAGGTAAACAGTCTTTTGTGGGGAGAGAGACATCCGTTGCTCAGACGTGCCAGAGAAGACGTCAAGGAAGAGGTGTCCTTGAGCCGGTGCTCAGAAGGAGGGGGGCTGTCAGGCCGCCGGGGTGAGGAGGGGTGGCGGCCGGGATGGGAGGAAGAGGCGGCTCTGGCCCCGGGGCCTGGGACCGGGTGGCAGGTGCATCTGCAGGGCTGTGGCCTGACTTGGAAGGGCCCCCATGGCCTCTGAGGAGATTCGGATTTTCATTTAAGGAACAGGGAGCAACAGGAGCAGGAAGGTGGCTCCACCGGAATGGTTTCTTAGGAAGATTCCAAGGATGGGGCTCGAGGGAGGCAGGGCTTGTGGTAAAGAGATCGGTCAGGCCTTAGCCGGTTTGGCTCAGTGGATAGAGCCTCAGCCTGTGGCCTGAAGGGTCCTGGGTTCGATTCCGGTCAAGGGCATGTGCTCGGGGTTCGGGCTCGATCCCCAATAGAGGGTGTGCAGGAGGCACCCGATCAGTGATTTTCTCTCCTCATTGATCTTTCTATCTCTCTCTTCCTCCCCCTTCCTCTCTGTCATCAATAAAAATAAAAAAGAGGCCAGTTAGGAAGCATGTGATGGGGGGTGGGATCCAGACTCCGCCTCCGGCTTGCGAGGAGGAGCAGGAGGGCTGCACCCTGAATATTCCCGAGGCTCCCGGCGGGGTGGCCTTGACCCCAGACCAAGTCCTATAAAGCGTTCTGCGCCCCCCGCCCCCCCCCGTGCCTCCCACAATGCCAAGCGCTCAGTGGGAGTTCAGCAAACATTGGCTGGAATTGGGAAACGGGGCAGAATCGATAATACTTAGTAACTGTTTAGTAGGGATGGCGTGGAGGGGAGGGAGGTGTTGGAGACTTGAGTTGAAAATCTGGGGGCGGTGAGGAGAGATGGGTCCAGTTTGGCACATGTTCAGTGTGAGGAATTTAAGGTCATCAGGTAGGATGTGCCATAGAAAGTCAGAAGAATTCGGATGGGGCCTGGGAGAGAGATTCAAGGGCTGAAAATCAAGAGCTCGAACCATCGGGGTATGATTGGTAGCTAAAGGTCTGCAAACGAACAAACAGGTCCAGTGGAAACACACGGGGGAGCGGAGGTTCAAGGTCAGGGGCCTGGGACCCACACAGGCGGAGGTAGCAAAAATCCTGCTGAGAGTCAGGTCAGGGAGGGGCCCTGGTGCCAGTATCGGAGCCTCAGCGTGAAAGTGAGGGTGGGAGGCAGGGCTGGGGCGGGGCGAGGGGTGAGTGGGAAGGGAGGATGGAGCACAGACAAGGACGTGTGGGCCTTGGAGACCGGGACACAGATGCAGGGGCAGCTTGAGGTGGAGACGGAGGCCCGAGGGGTGTTTGTTTTAGGTAGAGGGAGGCCTGAGGACCTGTCTGAATCAGAGGCAGTGGAGAAGGAGGGAGAGCTGGAAGGGTCAGGGCAAGAGGGGGTCCGTGAGGGGGGGCAATGATGGGAAAGTGAGTGGGGCCCGGTGTCCAGGCACAGGGCTCAGGAGGGAGCAGGCATGGGAGTGACCTAGCGGCGGCAGGCAGGCGGCTCCTGCCATTGATCAAGGTCACGGAGCTGCGCTTCTGCCCCTACGCCCCTGCCACAGCTTCTGAGGGATGTGAAGCCCACATCCCTTGATGGGCCCCGAGCTCTGCAGGGCCTGAGCATCCTGCTGTGCCCCTTGGGAGGAACACGGTCCTGGGTCCTGTTCCTCTGAGTACAGCGGGTGCCTGCCGAGTACGCGCTGTGTGTGAGCTGGAGTGCGGAGCGTGCGTCACAGTCGCTGGTCGGCTGCGGTCCGCAGGGCCTGTTTCCCAGCCCTGCGCCCCCGGTCTGCCCTTTGGCGAGTTCCGTGGCCGCGCTCGGCAGCCTCACTTCTGCCCGGGCCACTGGTTCCTGGCAGAACACCAAGAGAGCACACAGCCTTCCGGCCAGTCGGCTCTGCTAGCAGTTGGGTGCGCTGGGCACCCTGGCGGCCAGAGCCTGCTGCCCCTTGGACATGAGTGGACCGGACGCCTGCTCCCCTGCCCAGGTACCGACGTTGAGTTTTCTTCTGCCCTTTGATACCGAGGGGCTCCGTCAGTAATGTGGGGAGCAGCTGGGAGAAGGCCACCGGTTGTCCCGAGGTAGCAGCCAGTCCAAGACTCCCCTGCCTGAAGGTTGGGGGGGCAGGGGGGGGCTGCAGAGTCACCGTCTTGGCTTGGCCCAGCGAGGGGAGGGGTGGGCTCATGGAATCCCAGCGGGGGTGTCTTAGAGAAGCCCCAAGACTAGCCAGTCTGCTGAGCATCAGCCAGCACAGGGTGGGGACAGAGACACGAGTGCAGAACTTTCTTGTTCAAAGCAGGGCTAGTGGTCTTGTTGCTCTGACCGGTCAGTGCTGGTCACTGTGCTGGCTCAGGTCTCCTCCATCCAGGGCGGCCTGCCGGCGGCTGAGTGTTTGCCTTTGTTACTGCGGACACACTGTGTGTAGTGTTTCCACCTTGGCTGCATGTTTGACTTGTTTTTTTTTGTGTGTTTTTTTTTTAACTTACCAATGCCTGGGCTCTGCCCCTAACCAATTAAGTGAGAATCTTGGGCCCAGCTGGCGTGACCCAAGTGGTCGAGCGTTGACCTATGAACCAGAAGGTCACGGTTTAATTCCCAGTCAGGGCACATGCCTGGGTTTCCGGTTCCATCCCCAGTGTGGGCGTGCAGGAGGCAGCTGATCAATGATTCTCTCTTCATTGATGTTTCTATCTCTCTCTCCCCCTCTCCCTTCTCTGAAATCAATAAAAATATATTTCAAAAAAATAAATGGGAATCTTGGGGAGCGGGGCCTGGACACCTGCATTTTTTTTACTTCTCAGGTGATCGGCTGCCTTGTGCAATCAGTGTTGTGAGCTACAGATAGCAAGGGGTGACTCCTGGTCATGAAAGGAAGATGGGGAGAGGATGGGGAGATGCTAGAGCTGGAAGGATCCTGGTCGCAGCCTAGCAGAGGGCACCCACCCCCTGGGAGCCGGTTAGGATCGGGCCCACCCACACCCCCTAAGTCAGAACGGGCAGGCCCAAGGTTTGAGGAACCTGCTCTCGCCACCTGCCGGACCAGCGCTACTCAACCTCATGGGATCTTAGTCAAATGCCGATTCTGATTCTGCGGGTCCGGAGGGGCCTCAGGGGATGAATTTCTAGTAAGTTTCCTAGGGAGGCCCACGCTGCTGATCAGGTATATTTTGACCTGCAAGCATCTCAGACCAACTTCCCAGCTTCCCAGCCAAAGAAGCCGAGGGTCAGCGCGGGAGAAGGGACTCCCCCAAAGGAGCCCACCAGGCTGCTCACTCTCTCCAGACCGAGGGCTGGCTCCGTGTGGGCGGCGAGCTGGCAGCCGGCTGGGTGGGGACAGGCAGACCTGACTCCTTCCCTCACCGAGCTTGCGTTCCAGTGGGCGAATCAGCGGGCAAACAAATGAGTCACCGAACCCCGTCCAGGCCAGAACGGCCGAGAAGGCCATACAGGGTGACGTGGGGGGTGGTGGCAGTGGCTGTGGGTAGGTAGGGGAGGCGTGCACTTTCGGGAAAGCAAGCATGGAAGTTACTAGAACCACACCTTTCCCTGGGGTCTCCTGGTTACAGATTACAGACCTAGAACTGGACTGGACAGGGCCAGGTGCCATCCCCACTGGGGTCAGAAGATGGGTGCTGCTGACCCTACTGGGACCCCTGACACTGGTCGCCTCATGACCACCACCCCCCCTCCCCCGCCCTTCCTCAAGGCTCATTCTTCAGGGCTCAGGGCCTCCGAATGGAGCCGGAATGCCCCCGCGGGGCGGAGCGGGGCAGATAGGACAGAGTTCGGATCATTGATTTGTGATTTGTAAGAAAACCCAGGCCGTGTCCAGACGAGGAGAAACGTTGGAGATTTTTCGCTTAATCTAGAGAGTGCAGGCACTCGGGTTCCCCACTCCTGGCCCCTCAAACCGGCTGCTGTGGGTCCGGCCGGCCTGGCTCAGTGGTGGAGCTTCGACCTACGAACCAGGAGGTCATGGTTCGATTCCCGGTCAGGGCACATGCCCGGGTTGCGGGCCTGTGGGGTGCTGATCAATGATTCTCTCTCATCATTGATGTTTCTATCTCTCTCTCTCCCTCTCTGAGATCAATAGTAATATATATTTTTTTTAAAAAAA